ATAAGCAAGGATTCTCTCTGAACAATACTACAATCTCACTGATTTGGATTCAACTTCCAGAAACCACACTGTGTACTCACAAACTCGATTGAACTAATATGGTACTGATCGGGCTCGAATTGATCTTCGTCCTCGATTCCCACAGACGGCGCCAATTGAAGATGCAATATTTCATTTCTTCTTTCTTTCCCTCTCTCTCTCTAGAATTATTCTCTTCCATTTTCCACCTGCAATGGTCTATTTATAGGCCATTACCCTTATTGTTGTTAACTGATTACATTGGGCCTATATTCAAAAGTTTCCTTCCTTCTGGGCTTGATCTTCCAATGGGCTTGACCTTCCTCGGTGGATCCCCCAGGTTCGGCCCATTCCGGGGCGCTTTGGCATGGATCCTACTTCAATCGTTCGACCCGATCCCGTTCCAGCGAACTATATCCGGCCCATGCCACTTGCTACATCCTCAAAAACTATGTTTGGTAGCAAAATCAAGTTGGAGCTGGGTTTGAACTTGTAGCCAACCAGGGTGAATATGGTTCTAAATATTTTGGACTGAATTTGGGCCAGATTCAAGTTTTGGGCTGCTTTTTATAAGTGTTGATTTTGCTCAAAAATGTCTGGGATTTGGGCTGTTAAGGAAGTTGGGCAGTGTATGGGCTTAAATAAAAAGTGGGCTGCTGAGCTAAAATAAAGTGGGCTTCTGGGTTAAAAATAAACAAGTGGGCCGTTGGTCTAAAAATAAATAAGTGGCTGATGGTCTAAAATAAATGAGTGCTGGACTGCATAATGATATATAAACATTGTAGTTCTAATTTATGCATATTGTTGTATATTTCATATTTGTAACTTTGATACAACTCTTAACAATTGAAGTATGTGGAGTTTACTTGAACTGCATAATTATTTTTATCACTGTCTGGAGTTTTGGTATCTTCTTCCCCCAACTCATGGCCTTTCAGATGAATTTCGAGAATGGCTTAGATTCTCGTGGAGTTGTACTCTAATTGGGTTATTTAGCGTTTTTAAGAAATTTTGATTGTGGGATCAAATTAGGGATTTGACAAGATTTTCACTCCAGAGAAGCTTGGAAATGGTGGTAGTTCTTGCAGGACCATTTAATGGGAAGGGACATTATGTCTATACAAATTTTAGTATCTTTCAAAAATGATGACAATTATGATAATGACTTGTGTCACGTTACTATATGGAATCTAAGCCAATAAAGTCCGCCCAATTCAACTTAGCACGGTACTACTGTATAGAGTTAACTAGCTGAATTATTTTTCTCCATTTTATGCCCCCTTTAAGAATCATAAAGCTAGTTTAAAAACAAGACTCAAACTAGATTTAAAAACTATAAGAGCTGTAGTTTACTCACGGGCATTCCCTCTGCTAGTGACGGGTTATAAAATCATATGTGGTTGAAAAAAATATCAAGAATAGAGCGATATCAGATTAACCAATTAGTTCTAGAAAGGAAACAAAAAAAAAAATACATGCATATATATTAACAAAGATGTGGAGAAGTTTTGCATACAATATGAAGAAAGAGGCAGCCAGCCATGTGTGACAATGGATGCACTGCTTTCCAATTACCCAATAAACACATTCAGGATTTCTATGCTCAGAATGCAAAGTTCTATCCCCGATTCGTACTCTATCCAACCTGGCCTTAAAGTAATTTACCCGAGCATGAGCTTAAGCATCAACACTAGATTGACAGCATTTTATTAGCCTATGTTTGCCTAGTTTTCTGCACGCTTATACAGATGAGTATATGATATATTCACCAATTTTTTACTACCATGAACTTTAAATTTTCAATATAAATGATACCCATAGAACAAGTGAACCATTGATGATGTACTTTTATCACCACAATTCAATCTATTATCAGGAAGGATAAGAAAAACGACTTCAAAAAGAGTAGCAACCAATCTACCAACTCCATGATTTGGTGTCAAAGCCTTTGAAACCCACAATTGAAGCTCTTCAAACTATAATTTCTACATAGATGATGATGGAAAATAATGTACTGAAACATGGATCGGAGTCTGCTAACAAAACTTTTGCTCAGCTAGAATGTCAAACCAATCAAATATAGTTAAAATTGTGAATATTAAGAGCTACACATTCATCGAAACAATTAGATACACACACATACAAGTCTATGCTAGTTTCAGTCAGTTGACCACACAAATTATGCCATTTCATCCTACAAGCATCCAATTACAAATGAAACATCGTAGAATCAATCAACGACCTGAAAACCTAATTAAAACCCAAAATCATTCTAAAAAACTTGGGCATTTTCGGCACCATTTCCATCAAAAATAACCCTACATATCAATTTCATACGGCAAAATTAGCAACTAAATCTGATGAAATCAAATTATAGAGCATATATATATATACATATATACGTATAGAGACAGAAGAACCTGTGTAAACGGCGATCAGTGCTTGTTCGCCGGGAAATGCAGAGCTGATGAGTTGAAGGACGTGTGGACTGTGGAGGCAACGAACCTTTTCCGGAGTGGCCTAAACTATTATTGACCGGATTGGCCGGTCAATTGGCTCATGGTTACCTGTTGTTGTCGGTCAGAATGTTTGCTGCGTGCATGTGCTATTATAGTACTGTATTTTTTTACTCTGTCAGATTTTCTTCCTTTATTTATTTATTTTTATTATTTCTCAGGTGCATAAATATATAATAACCATTTGTTTTTGAATGACTCAAATGTATTAAACTTGGCTAGTTATTAATTTTAATTTTTTTTAATATATATCTTAACAAGATATTATCGAGCTTCTAATTTAAGTCAAAATTAGAGCAAAATGAGAGAGATGAGAGTATCACTTGGAATAATTGTGCGACTTAAATTATACCTAGTTGATAACTTAATTAATTTTTCACAATTTAACCAATATAGTAAATTGAACAACACTTGTCTGGCTATGCATTGTGAGAAAGATTTTTTTTTTTTAATTGGACCAAATGTCTAGAGTGTTAGATTTGGAAGCTTTTAGATGGGCCTGGACCAGCATGGGATTTGGGCTCTTTCTTGCTTTGACAGCCTTTAGGCTGGTATTGGACTTTATTTGGGTTTAATGCACCATAGCAATGAACAACACCAAAAAAAGAAAAAGAAAAAAACTCTAAAATAATTTTTTTTAACTGCAATTTATTTTATTTTATTTTTTCAAACTCAACAACATTTTTTACCATATTTTTATTTTTTTATTTTAAAAAATCTTACAACAAATATACATTACCAAACATACTTTTAAATAACATTGAACATACTCCAAAACAAAAAATATTGAGCCTTACTTGGTTTGTAACTTTTCAAGAGCTATTTTCAGAAAATTATAAAAAACAAATATATGAAAACAGATATTTTTATAGCTTAATTTTTAGAAGACAATTTTCAGACAATTGAACCACGCATAATTTTTGTATAATTTTTTATTATCAAATCTCTAAACTAGTTTTATATTTTCAGAGCATGGTTCGCTGACCTGGCCAATCCGCAACGGAAAATCAAGGTGCCGGTACCAATACTTATCGATTTATCGGTGAGTTTATAGCAAAACCGCCCGATTCCCTGCACAAATCGCCGTTTTTGGCAAGGAATCGCCCGGTCCATACAAAAAACCGGCGAGCAAAGAAAAGAAGAAGAAAGCTAAAACTATATGAATCCATTCTTACAGTCTCTGTCAGAGTTCTTCCTGTTGCCGATGAAGACGATCAGTTCCTGTTTTTGGTTGAGAAAGACGCCATAGATACTCGCTATATCTCTTCCTCTTTCAGACCGTCCTCTGGGTTGTTATATCGGTACATTTTAGATCATTATGTGTGAATTTTAAAACATTCACGAATTGATACAGGTCTGATTCCGTTACGACAACCTTGTTTCTGAGTTATAAACAAAGCAGGCCCATTGCTTCTGCTTCAAGTCACCAAACATGCCCTTCCTATGTTTGTTTCCTAGTTCTCCATTTCGAGAAATTGAAACTCACTCAACAACTCCACCTAAATAGACACACACAGTTAAAATGAAGTTTGGGTCCTTCCTGCAGATATGCAACTGAAGGTATTAAAGCATCATGTGATTAGGCATACAAAGGTGTGACTGAAGATTCAGTACTAGAAGGTAAGTAATACATGCTTTTGCTTTTGATAATTATGCAGGATCTTCTCTGCAGAACAGGATGAATGATCTAAAACTGCTTTGCATATGCCTACTTCCAATCCCGACTACCATTTGTCAATCTCCGGTTAGCTCAAGGTGGAGTTCGGTTAGCAGCCACTCGGAACAGCACATTCCGATGACAGCAATCCGACCATCAATTTGCAGGTAGCTCTAGGGTTTCTCTGATGTTATGGGAAAACAGAGGATACCTGACCACAAAACATATCGGAACCATGTAGTGCCTTATTGTTGTTCTGATTTGAAGTTCTGAATTGCTTTCAGATGAAAAAAGATGCTGTTCCTGTGGCTAATCCTAATGTACAGCATAGTAATAAAAATGCAGTAGTTGGAAATTCATTGTGTTCTTACTGTAGTCACAGATTTGGTCATATGCAACATTTATAATGTCAATCAATCTTCTTGTTTCATATTTGGCCGAGCCAACATAAACGACATAACCATTGATAAGGGACATTCATCCACAAAACTTTACCTTTGAGGAAAGCAAGCGCGAGATATTAACTATAAGTCAGACAAGCATTCTGCATAGCCAACTAGGTTTATCTTCCAAACACAAGTAACAGTAGTGCTTGAAGAGTAAACAAAGTAACAAACAAAAACAAATATTCACATTGTCCTACCGTGCAACATGCATATAGGATCTTAATTTTCTAATGACAATAACTGTCATCCGGTAACGAAGTTGCTTGCACCAAACAGAGACTTCGAGAACATGACCAAGTTTGTAGAATCCAGAAAAAGGCTCAATTTCATTAGCAATTTCTACAATGATTCTTGCGTAGAAACTTACAAAATGGATGCCAAAAGAAGCATACTACTTTTCTATTAGATGAAATTGTGTCTTTTTTACTTTTGGAAGATTCAACAACAAAAATCTTTTTCCTTCAATCAATTCCAAAACAAAATAATGAAAAGAAAAACATGAAAGGGACAAAAAAAAAAAAAAAAAGGCCCTCCAAGGCCAAACTAAGACGGAGGGCAATTAGGAAAAAAAAAAAAACTACACTAGGTCATTGTGAAGTGATCTTTTTACTGAATCTCCACAGCAGTGGAATCAGTTGGACTCCCTATGGCGAAGAAACTGAACAAATTTAGATCTAACTTCTGGTGGTATACGGACAGGACGGTAGTTTTTATCCAGCCAAACTGCCGTAGCCTTTGCCTCCAATATAGGCTGCACAAACACAATATTGAGTTCCTCAGCATCTAAATAAGTCCTTGATAGAATTTTGTGGTTTTTTATTATTTTTTTCCCCTTCTTATTAAAGAATTAAGTATAAAGATAACAAGAAGAAACCTCTTGGTTTGGTAGCTTGAAGATCAAGTGTTCAAAGTATAGGCGAGCGGCTGAAGAATCAGATACCCTCACCTTGACAACAAACCTGTCTCCACTCTGGTTGTACAAAAAGCACCACGAGAACAGCCACAAGTATACTTAACCCAGTCATGAGCTTTAAATATTGAGATGTAAACATTTTATAAAACAATTAATTGCTGCACATGCATCACATTGTTTTATTCAGTATTTAAAATAATATACAAAGATAGTTTTCTCCGAATTATAGTGCTCTGATTGAAATAATAAGAGATGTAAAGAATGTATCTGCTTAACTTTTTTTTTTTTGCCTCTTTCGGGAATATAAGAGTCCAGAATGTAAATTAATTACTTCTTTGCCAACTTCTCAAGTAGACTACTCACCTTTAACCCAAAAAAAGAAAAAAAAGAAAAACCTTCTCAGGCAGCCACCTTTGACTTCTCGATGTTATTACTGCTTTCTCAAGGGAACTATTTGATCAAATATCTTGGGTAACATGATTTCATGCTATCCAAACAGAATTTAATTTTTGCATAGTGGCCAGCAGAAGCCATTCTAACATCACACTCAGGATAAAATGTTTGTATAGTTACCTCAAGAAGTTTCCTTGTGCCTTAGTGTAGGTGTTTGTATAGAACCCCCCCACCCCACCCCATCCCCACACACACACCAGGGGAAAAAAAAAAAGTTACAGGTGTCCATGAGCAAATTTTTACTCCTGAAAATTTAAGGAAACCAAAGAGTAACAAAAAAGTTGAGAAATAGCATGACATTTAATAGCTGTGAAAATGGAGATGAATGGCATACTCTTAAAGGTCCAAGGAATTTGAGCGATAGCTCTGACAGTGCTAATGCATCGCCAGTGCGGGCAACTGCATCAGCGTTTATCCCAATCCTTTCAAAAAGTTCATGACGGCCTGTTCAAAATGTTGGAGGACAAGTAATAAGCCTACTTCAAACAAATCCCAGAAAACAAAATTAAAAATGCTAAACTAAATGCAAATGGTTTGAACAACATGGTGGAACGATTCAATTTTCAGGAGACACCTATGATCTCCTAGGAGTGTGTTATCTTTCTCAATCACCAACATTTGTTTCAAGATATTTTCATGAGTGACAGATGGAAGGGAGACTAAAAGACTTTTACTACCAATTGAGCACATTGGTGCATACATACTTTATACTTTATTATGTCATAAATTCCTTGAATGCAATAATCATAGGGTTTAAGATGAAAAAAGGAGTATCTTAAAGCAATTTTACCATATGCGCATTAACGAGAGAGAGACATGAAGTATACATACATGTTAACAACAAGAAGAAACATGTACATGTGTTTCCATGGAGTTAACAAAGAAATGCACCAAATCAAACAGGTCCATGAAATGGTGTATGAAAACACCAACTACTTTTAGAAAACCCAAAACAATTTGATCTCTCTGAGACCTTTTAAAAGATAATGTCATTTCTTTTATAAAGGAATTACAAACAACCTACCAAATCCGACAGTCAGTTTTCCATTCAAAAAATTATGCTTCTTAATAATGTTCCCATCTTCAAATGACAGCCAGAAAGAAGACATTTCTTTTGCACATGGAACCAAAAAAAAAAAAAAAAATGCGTACCAAGAACAACATTAAACTAAGAAGAGAGGTATCTAGTTACCCAAATAAACTCTGCAACAAAGCAAAAGAACTTCATCTTGAGTACAACCTTTGTCCATATAAAAGCACAATGAAGCAATCAATTAATACCGGCATCAAATTTGTCAATAAACATGCAAAGTATTCCTACTGAATTTGATGAACGGCTGATTCAAGGAGACTGAATGAAGACAGCATAAGACCACAAGAAAGAGGAGCTATGTTAGAAAGTTCTCGTGCAAAGGCATTGTTGTTTTCTATCTAGAAAGGGTTTTTAAAAAGTATGGTCCCTGTTTATGAAGGGGGCTGAGAGGGGTAGACTGGACAGAAACTTAAAACTTCCTCGTCATTTGCACACTGTAGCTGCTCTCAAATTTCAAACCCGGGTTCTAATGAAAAATTCATGATGTTTACAACAATGATTTGCTCATAAAAAAATCCTTGAAGTGAGAATACCGTAAACAGTTAGCAAAGCTGTACTCTTATATGGCTAGGTTCAAATTTTAACAGTCTCACCATGTTGGCAATAACTTGCATAAACAGCATTGTTTACAACACCATACTGATCCAATTCATAATCACGGACTTTAAGCTCAATATCATGGAACCCACACATTCTGCAAAAGAAAAAGAAAAAAAGAGGGCATTATTTACCCATTAAAATTTCATCAATAATACCAAATTTATATTTATAATTTGATACAGATTACACGCCAAACGATCTCAAAAGCTCAGATCACAAGGAAATTCAATACTTTAATAAAACTCTCTCACTCATTCTGTAATCACATGCACATAGGGGAAAAAGAAAAAATTGACAATCACATGAAACCCAAGTATTTATAGAACACAATGGTACTTGAACACAAGTTCATGATAAAAAAAAAGGGCACCAAGAATAATTAATTTAATTCAACAAAATTCAGCTTAAAATAAGAAAACTTGAAAGAAAATTGGTCACAACCTGAAATCTGAATGAAAGTAACCCACCATCGGAATTATTACTAAACAACATTGAGTCTACTTGAAAGCTAAATTACCCATGAATTAACCAGCTAAACCTCTACTTCCAAACAATAAAAGCTAGGGTAATAAAATTTGAAGCACAAAATTTTTCAAAAGGAAGAATTGGGGAGTAAGAATATGCATACCCTTTTCCACCCTTGAAATCAAATTCTACTGCACTACTGCCTTTGATAGGAGGGAGTGATCGGAGACGTGGCGGCGGCCGGAGGTGAAGATTCCGTGATGCAGGAGAAACAGCTGACGGAGGGTGAAGATTGAACCACGCAGTCTTGGCACGTGAAATCGGAAAAGTCACGTGAACAGGGGAGACGAGAGCCTGCAACATCTATTTCTATGCTCAACGACAGTGGAGAAATTTTTTGAGTTAGGAGAAAGTTTCAGATTTTTGGGAATTTATGAGTTTTGTTTGAGCATTCGTTGTTGGGCGTTAGTTTCAATCTGAATCTATCAGCAAATAAATCCATTCTCTATAATTTAATGGAGTATTAAAAATATGGAACAATAATTTGGAAAATTATTTTAACACTTCCCAAAATTTTGAAAGATGAAATCAACACTATACAAACTAAAAATGATATTGGCACTTGAATTTTCTTTTATTTGAAATTTTTAACAAATAAAATGACAAAATTAGGCTTAAAAATGGAGTACATGAGGACTAATTTGAGTCCGTGTATTTTCAAAGGAGAATTATGTCATTTAAAAGTTAAAGGAAAACAGCTAAAAGAAAAGGAGTGAAGTTTACCCTTTTTCTTTTTCTTTTTCTTTCTTTTTTTTTTTTTTTTTTCTTTTCTTTCTTTCTTTCTATTTTTGTCCCTCCTTATAATACACTTCTCCAAATAATAATATTTATTTATTTTTTATTTTTATTGTCTCCAAATATTTGTGAAAAATAATTCAAAAAATTCTCTTGCGATTTATCTCATTAAGATGGCTCAAATTCATTATAATTTTAAAAATTGAAACTCGTTTGATATTGCTTGTAAAATCCACAATTAAAGTATATTACACGCGTTGAATCAGCGCCTTAGGAATCACCTTGGTTAGCCGGTCCGGATAGCCTTAGCCTCACTCTTGCTTGACAATGTTAGCAGCTTGTTTCGCTGAGGGTTTGGCGTTGCGAGCATCTCCTTCTACTGAAAGATTCGGGCTATCATAATGTTGTGGTTGAAGGCGATTGCCAATCCGTGGGGCGCCTCCAACTCATATATAAGGCTCTTATGGTGAATTTTAAGGATATCTCTTTCCAAGTTCCTCCCTAGCTTAGGTTCTGGAAACCAAAAATATTGTAACTCGCTTGGTGAACGGGAAGGATCTAGTAGTCGAACATGGTGATATGGAATGGAGCATCAGGCCAGTTAAATGCTATCCTCCTATAATATTTTTAGGGTTAATTACATTCACACCCTCTGAGGTTTGTCTTATTGACAACTAAATGAAAGTTGGCTCATTTTTGAACACTCAGACCCCTGTCAGAATTTTGATCCAAACAGGCCCTTAAAGGGTGAGAAAAGACGATATTACCCTTTAATAAAATATTAATCTTTAAACTACAATATCAAAATCTGTATATGACAAAATTACCCTTACAGAAGAACAAAAATTCATAATTTCCTTGCCCCCACCATTGCCATCTCAACCATCCCACCATTATCACTGCAACCTCCTCCACCACCACCACCCGCAACGCCATTATTAACCACATCTGTTTTTACTGCATCATCCACACATACTACAGCATACACAGAGGGAATAGGATAAAAGATATAGAGAGAGAAGATCTAAAGGAAAATCACAGACCCACCGTTGGGAACGTACTGCATCAGGACACCGACGGCGGCGAAGTCACCAGGGAAATTTAAGGAAAGCTAATCAATGGGTTAGGGATTTTGCTTGTTGCAGATGCTGATAGGGTGGTTTTGCTTTTTACGACAGTGGTGGTGGTTGTGGCGTCGAGGTTGCGGTGGTGAGTGGAGAAAGAAAGAAAGAAGGGGTGGGCGGCGGGTGGTGGTGCGATTGCTGTTGAATGGTGGGTTTGGGTTGTCATAGATTAGGGGCAAATGGCAGAGATAGGGCGATTGGGGAAGAAAATGAGGGTGAATCTGATATTTATTAAAAAAAAATTATAAAATCAAGGGGCATAACCATGGTAGAGGTGGTGTGTCGCTAGTAGAGTTGGCAACCACCCTCTTCTTCCGATCATCCCCATTCTCACTTTATATATATATATATATTATGTGTAAAGATGAATAGGGTAGTTTAGTATATTAAAATTACTTAGGAGGTTAAATGGGTAACTTCAATATTTTAATAGGTTAATTAATAAGTCAAAGGGCATTCTAGTCATTTTGTCATATGTCAGAGTGTTTAGGGGTGTATTTGATAAAGGCAGCAAATTTGAGGAGGTGTCATTGTTAAAAAATAGCCTAACTTTCATCTGACTGTCAATATGACAAACCTCAGGGGGTGTGAGTGTAATTAACTCATATTTTTATATTTTAAAGGTTTAATTTATTTAAATTATTTACATTATTTGAATGTATTTCATTATTTATTTTATTTGATTTAAATTGGTTAATAATGACTATGATTATTTGTTGGTTTGATTATCTAATTAAATTATGATGGTCGGATAATTTAAATTATTTATGTATATTTTTTTGTACATGCGTGCTTAATTGTTTAATGTGACTTTAATTGTTATATTAATTTAATTGTTTGTCTATTTTAATTTAATATGGATTGAACTTAGAGTTAGTAGAACCCAAAGTAATGAGTTTGGGTTAGTTGGAGGAAGCTTAGGTGGGCTGAGAATGCTTTAGGCCCATGTAGGGATAGCAATGGGGCGGTTTGGGGCGGGTTTCCCATTCCCCATCCCCACCCCAGTTTAATTTTGGTGCTCCCAAAACCGCCCCCTAACCGGTTAATTTTTTGCCTCTAATCCCCATAACTGCCCTCGCCCTCGCCCCCGCCCCCGCCCCATCACCCTCCCCATAACTGATTATATTTTTATTTAAACACAATCATATATATATATATATATATATATATGGAAGTGTTAAGTGTAGGGTTTCCAATATATATATATATATAGAGAGAGAGTGAAAGTTAATTTGGTAAATATATTAACATGGTAAGATAAATTAATAATTTAAAATATTAAACGGGGTGGTTATGGGGCGGGTATGGGGTAGGGATCTTAGTCCCCCGCCCCCGCCCCGCAACCGGCTAGTTTTTTTTTTTTAACCCCCATCCCCACCCCATTTAAGTAAACGGTTCTCCAAATCCGCTTTAAATGGGGCGGGGGCGGGGCAGTTCCCCACCGGATTGGGGATTTTTGCCACCCCTAGGCCCATGGGGTGATGTGTGTATATATATATATATATTATTTGTACGGAGTTAGAATGATGTATGTGGATTGTGACGCGGAAGTGTGCCGACGGGAATGTTGGCCCGCCTAGGGAGGTGGATTGTGACGACTTTGCGGAAGAGCACATGAGCTACATGCCCAGAGCGGACAATATCATATCATATGGTGCAGTGGGTTGTTACATTGTATTTATGATACTAATCATATTGGAGTACTATGGGATATTGTAATTGATGATGTTAATTATGCCTTTTTATTTTAAAATGATAATTATCATATTAATGGTTTGTACTATACACAAGGATGAGCTTATTTAACTTATAAGTTGTAATTGATAATAATCATTTATATATGAGTTGTGTGCATTGTGGAGAACATGTGGGTTTGGCTAATAAGTATAGTGATCGGTTGATCAACTATACATCAACCTTCGCAATAGCACGAATCATTGTAAAATAGGGCTATTGGTCGGGTAAGTCGAACCACAGGGACTACGCTAGTCTAATACAACCTAAATGTCTAGAATCATTCTTAGAATGATGAAGGGTGTATAGAGGTTTTGTTGGATGTCACTTAAGCTAGGAAATTAAAAGTGCATAAAACAATAAATTGCAAGAATTCAAGGGAGTGAAGTACAAGTAAAGAAGGCTAGGGAAATGAATCCACCTCCATCCCTATACACATGCTAGGTTAAGATTAATTTAAGGGAAAAACAACATATATGATAGTCATGATACATAACAATACTAGGTTGCTATAATATCCTTAAGAAGTTCATTTAATTAGAAAGGCAAGAATAAACCATCAAAGGTTCACATGATCAACTACCTAAACTAAAATGTAGCTTAGAACATGCTTACTAAGCCAAGGATTATCAAGCCCTAATTTAAATGGTGAATGCACATAAAGCTAAGAATCAAGTATAGCCCATCAAAGGGAAACCCTAAGCCATGAACTATCTAGGTTCTCCAACTCCATGCCATTAAAACCATTCCATGATCTAACTTCCATTGTCACCATGGAAGTGCAAGCAATATGATTAAGAAAAGCAACCATCCAAGACAAGATGAATAACTCACAATAATCATTTAAAACATTCAACATTCATTACAACAAAAATGAGGCTCTTGACCATGGAAAGACTATCAAAAATACATTGTAATCCCCAAAAATAAACTATACTAACACATGCTTACAAGGGAGGGGTTTCATCACCTCCCTAGATGAGGTTTAGTTACCCATTGGTGAGCTAGAAGAAGGAAGAAGCATCATCCTCATCTCCATTTTCGAGCTCTTACTGTAGCACTCAAGAACACCCTTTTCCTTGCTCTCTTCTCTCCCCTTTCTCTTGCTCAAGATAAAGCTTAATGATATATGTGGCCTTTGGGTAGCCTTTTATGCTCCAACAATACCCTCTCTCCTCCAAGGAACACCTCCAACCACTTCATAAAGAAGGAAGATGGCATTGAGGAAACCAATGTGCAAGTGGGCTGAAATGAGCCATTTCCGAAGGGCATTCTGCCTGATTTTCGAGCACACGCTTGGTGACTTCGAGCACTCTAACTTAGTGCAATGTGCAACATGCTCCTCTTGCTCAGTGCTGACCTATTTTGGGAAAACTGCTATAACTTTGTGCCCCGAACTCCGAATGACGATCTGTTTGAAGCTTTGGAGAGCTGATTCAGTGCTTTAAAAACTTCATGTTTTGATGAAGACCCAAATCTCAAGTCTGGTTGGTCGAAAATGGGGAGAAAGGAAGTACATCAGTGCTGATAGGCAGTTCTGCGCACCTCTGTTGTGAAGATCATAACTCTCTGCTCCGAACTCCGAATGATGAACCACTTGAAGATTTGGAAAGCTGATTCAGAGCTCTAAATCTTTCATGTTATGAGGGAAGTCCAGTTCTCGAGTTTGGAAGGTCAAAATGGCAAGCAAAGTCCAGGCTCTACTGCTGCCAGAATTCAGCATTGGCACCTTTTGTTGCTCAAGATTCCACAAGGCCTTATTCTTGTTCCATTTTGGCCAATGAACCTGAAAATGCATAAAAACATAGAATTGGAGTTAATCTACATAAAATAATTAATAACTGGACTTTGTTAATGTAATTTAGGGCGCTTGAATATACATTATTCGGCGCTTATCACACCCCCAAACTTACATTTTGCTAGTCCCTTAGCAAAACTACAAGGAAAAAC